TTGCTAAAACACATCAGTGAGGTTACTTTCCTTGATGCTTTGGTGTATCCCAATAATAAGGTGACCAGACGTCCCGCTTTTGGCTGGACGGTCCTGATTTTTGGCGTTTTAAGAAAAATCCTGATTTTTTGAAAGAAGGCACGACAAACTAGGGAACGGTCTATTTAGTCCATATAGACCAAATTTTTAATCAAGAAACACCCCTCCGCTCCACCACCACTCCCCGCTGCCCCCACCCCGTCAATGGTGTCCTGCTTTAAATCTGGTCACCTTACCCGATAACCACTGGAACACAATGAAGAGCTGGTATTGCAGACATAGATTTGTCGCTTTCAAGGTTTCCCTCAAAAATTAGAAATAGACGTTTAAGGGAACAACTGTGCTTGAGTCCCCACCCCCGAGCCCCACCCCCTAGTTATTTAAGTAGTATGATATAGTTGAGAAGGCAGGTTTTAACCAGATTGCCTGAATTTGTATCCTGGATATACCATCATTAGCTAGCTGTGTGGCCTTGACCTCTGTGGTGCCTCGGTTTCTTTAGTTGTATGAGACGAATCAGAAGGAGGCCCAGTGGTGCTGCGGGCTGCTAACCAAAAGGTGGCTTTTTGGAGCCCACCTCACAGGGAGAAGGACGGGGCCATCTGCTTCTGGAAAGATGCAGAAGATGCGCAGCCTTGCAAACTCTACGGGCCAGTTCTCCTCTGTCCAACGAGATCCCCGTTTGTCAGAATAGAGTTGATGGCAGTGGGTTTGAGCTGGTTTATCTCTTGGGTTTGCTGGGTTAATTTTGGCAATCCACATTATTATCACCTTTATTATTACGATGAATGATGATTCTTCACCGTGGATAATTTAAACTTCTTAGGAAAAGCTTTGCTAGCCTAAAACGATCTGTTGATGTGCTGGCTTTTCTATTCATATTTATCTATATGTATTTATCTCGGTCACTTAAGAAATAAGTAATCCTCTGTCTACATTTCAGTTTTGTGTTTTGGCAAATGCCCCTGCTTTTCCCTATGACTAAGCACATTTGTTAACGGGTTAAACACGTATATAGACAAGTGTGTACTGTACGCAGACACTGAACAAGGGACTGAGGAGATAAAGAGCAGCAAAGCATGGAGGCTGTCCTGAGCATTTTTTTTTTATACCCATCATGCTGTATTTTTAAAAACTTTTTATTGGGGGCTCGTACAATGCTTATCACAATCCATCCATCCACTGTGTCAAGCACATTTGTATGTTTGTTGCCATCAGCATTCTCAAAACATTTGCTTCCTATTTGAGCCATTGGTATCAGCTCCTCATTTTTCCCCTCCC